CATATAGAAAGTTTTTGAGGACCAAAGAGTGTGTAAATCATCTTCTGCATTTCAGTAAACATCTGTAGCTTTGTGCTCCCACTCCCTGAGATAGCAGCACCCATTCACTCTCTATGAATTTGTAGAACTGAGATTTTGATTGCTACTTCTTGCTCAGAAGAGGTTTGCAATCTTCCTTGGCCTTGAACTGCTGCTGTCAGATGAGGAATTGCTGCTTCTCAGTGACTTACACCATCTTGAGTATCCTAACATGTATGAATTAGTGGACTTTGAGAACTAGGGGTAAAAACTATGTGATAAATGCTAGGTGCCTTTCTCCTATTACCTTTAGTTTTGTGTGGGGGAGTATGTGTGTGGGGGGATGGTAGAAGGTGGTTTGGTAGACATAGGTTAAAATAAAGCATTTTTTTAAAAAAGGCAGATAGAACAATGGCACAATAAAGCCAGATTCTCCTTTTTTAGAGTTATTATTCTTAGAATGAAAATAGGGAGGTTTATTGGAGGCCAAGAATCCCTAGTCATTGATTTTTATTTCTCTTGCAAGTGTGGACTATGAAATTTTTCTTTGCTTATCTTTGTCACAATAATAGTAACAAAATAATAGTACAAGTTCAATAAATTAGTCATAAGTTTCCTATGTTCAAATATAAATACACCACCAGTGGAACTCCACAGCATGTACGACATCAAGAATGGAATCCTAAGTAGAATAAGTTATATTTAATGTATGTGGAATATGCCAGTGTATACTCTACTGTCATCTATATCTAAAAACAAATTTAAAAAATTGAGCCGGATGCAGTGGTGAGCACCTGTAATCCCATTGGCTCAGGAGGCTGAGGCAGGAGGATCACAAGTTCAAAGCCAACCTCAGCAACTTAGCAAGGCCCTAAGCAACTCAGTGAGACTGGGGATGTGGCTCAGAGGTTAAGTGCCCCTGAGTTCAATCCCTGTTACAAAAAAAAAAAAAAAAAAAAAAAAAAAAAAAAAAGAAAAGGACAAGAATGGTGCTGCTTCACTAAACAAAAAGGAGATAGTGGCCAAAGTCCAGGCTCCTAAGGGGGCAGCTCCTTAGCTGGAGGTGGGGGAGGGGCCAAAAATCAAACTGGGGACTCCTCTTAAGGTAAGGTGCTCTGAACAGTGGCCTGCATGCCTGACCTCAGTGAGGCCTCTAGGTTGCTGAGGTCTCATTGTCCAAGGTGCTCACCAACAAGGCAGAAAATGAGAGCTAAAGCTGGTATGGAGAGACCCTGAAATTCTACTTCAATTTTTATTACCCAACAAATCACCATTTTGTTTATTTAATTGTAACCTATTATAGGCTTTAAACTTTTGCCTCTTAAAGTTTTTCATGTAACACTTCTAAGTTGAACCTGTTTTTTTAATCTTTTTTTTTTGTGTGGTTGTTGATGGACCTTTATTTTATTCATTTATTTATGCTGAGAATTGAACCCAGTGCCTCACACGTGTGAGGCAAGCACTCTACCACTGAGCCATGATCCCAGCCCCTTGAATTTGTTTTTAAAGGATCATTTTTTTAAAAAGTTAAAGACTAAATTAATATAAAGTAGATCTCTGAGTTGATGTCCCTTCCAAGGCCAGAGCATAAAATCGAAAGACTGTAGGCTCTCCAGCAACCAGAGTGTGCCAGAGCCTTCCATGGAGCTAAGCTGGTGCTCTGTGGCCAGAATGTAGAGGCCCCCAAAGAACTCACTAGAGAGCTCACTGCTTTTATTACCTCCCAGGGGCAGGTGCACAAGCCTTACGCAGTGACCTTCGACCCTACAGACACTGGGACTATTGTGGCTGTGGCAGCTAAGATCCTGCAGTGCTTTGGCTATGTAGACATACTCATCAACAATGCTGGGATCAGCTACCATTACAGACACCACAGTGGATGTTGAAGAGAGTCATGGAGACAAATTACTTTGGCCCTATTGTTCTAACAAAAGCACTCCTGCCCTCCAAGATCAAGAGGAGGCAAGGCCACATCATCACCATTAGGGCAAAATCAGCATTTCTTTTCAATCAGCATATGGAGCCTCCAAGCATGCAACCCAGGCCTTCTTTGACTGTCTGCATGCTGAGATGGAACAGGATGAGATTCAGGTGACTGTAATCAGCCTTGGCTACATCTATACCAACCTCTCTGCAAATGCCATTACCACTGATGGGTCCAGATACGGAGCTATTAACAAGAACACAGCCCAGGGATGGAAGCCCTGTAGAGGTGGCCAAAGATGTTGTTGCTGCTGTGGGGTAGAAGAAGAAAGATGTGATCCTGGCTGACTTTCTGCTTTTCTTGGCCATTTATCTTCAAACTCTGGCTCCTGGGCTCTTTTTCAGCATCATGGCCTCCAGGACCAAAAAGGAGAGAAAATCTAAGAATTCCTAATCCTGGCCCAGAGCTAGCAGCTCCAACCAGTTTGAGTTAGGATGAGAAGCAACACCTCCCCAGGCTTGACTGCTCTACAAGGGACAGCTGTGCTTGAGACTTTAGTGACAATTTGCCCTCCAGGTGGAAAAGACTGAAGAAACATTTCTCCTTCAGGTCCATGGTGCAGCCCCTGCAGAAGGAGAATAAGAACCAAACAGGCAATGAGCTAGGGGTGAGAAATAAGCACTTAAGGAATAAATATGGAGATGTGTTTCAACTCTAAAAATATGAAATAAATGATAGGAACAGTAAGAGTCATAAACCTCAGTGATTAAAAGAACCCTGGATTCTTTGAATTCCAGCCTTGATGACCCCTAGAAAATGTCTGCCTTGGAATCAGATGTCGTAACATTGCTTGACCCAGTTGTTCTCGTGGTTGATGTATCCAAGACCACTTAACCCATTTGCTTTGGCAGAGACAAACCTCCAGCACTTGGGAGAGAAGGTTATATTTTTAGGAAATCATTATTCATATCCCTTTCCAGGATCCTGTGATAGCCCATTCAACATAGAAAATGGTGGGCTAGTATGTGATGGGTTATTTGGCACATCCCAAGTGATCTTGGCTTTAGCACCAAAAGGTATTCCCTGTGTTCCAGCTGACTCTAACTACAGCCTTGGAGGATGACAGGCACAATTCAAAGCAGATGAATTTCCTAAAGAGGCAGCAAGCAGAGGGAGACCCTTGCATGGCCCTAGACATCCTCTAGGAAAAGAGACTGGCCTGGTGAGCATAGAGTTGAAGCAGCAGCTGGCTTCCAGGTGGAGGGATTATAGCCAAAAAGAAGGCCAGGATCCACCTTTGATTTATTAAATGTTCACAGTTGAAGTTCTTGAATGAGTCACTTCATTTAGGGAGAACTTTTTCCTATTAATGAGAGTGAAGTTGAAATGGTAGGTCCAATGTAGACTTCCCCAAGTTGGAATAAAAATCTACTAGCATATGAAAAAAATATATAAACTAGATTGAAGATTTTATTCAGTTCATTAATTAATGCGGTATCCAGTAAGATGTTTAAACTTGTTCAAAGCATACTGAGGAGCTACTTACAGGCTATTTAATAAAGGAATTTTAGAATATGATTGCCAGGTTAGATACAAAACTAGTCAATGACATAAACCATCACCTTTGGAATCTTGTCCCCTGGATAGAAAATATTTGCCTTTCTGCTGGATCAAATTCTTCAAGTCAACTTCCATCCTTGTGGAGTTGTGAAACAGCATGGTCCAGTGGAAGCCAATTGAAAGTGCAAACTACATGTAAGCATAGCCCTGAAGAACCACTGGAGATCACTGTTTTAGATGACTTCCTGAGTTTTAGATGACTTTTCCGAGTTTTAGATGACATTCTCATTCTGTCCTTTCTTTAAAAGGCCACTTCAATATTTCTCAGTTCGCATAAGGCTCTGGGTTCAATTTTGGGAAATAGTAGCATAATATGTTGCAAAACCTAGTCAAGGATGTGGTTTATATCATTATATATTTTAATGCTCATTTATTTATTTTTTAAATTTATTTTTTTTATCATTAAAAGTTAATGCCATGGGGGCAATGTTTACAGTTTTATTTTCTTGAGTTAGTTGATGTTTTGGGTACAAGATGAGGGAATATTCAGGATTGAACAGTGAACCCAATCATGACGGTCTGGATCCTTCTGCTCTGTCCTCAAGAGACTTTCTGCTTTTCCTGGTACCCTGTCCTGTGCTTTAGGCAAGCAGGACTATTCATGCCCAGTCTCATGATATGTAATGTTTTTTGCTGTGATTTTCCCTTGGGCCACTTCCTTGGCTGGAAAGAGCTCTGTCAAATTTCTCAGCACAATGTAAATAACTTCTAGAAAGCATTCCCTAAAGACATCAACTCCAAGGACTATGGATTGCTAATAACACTATGCAACTGTTCATATGGCTATTAATACATCATCTTTAATCTCTTATTTATGGATGTGCCTTGTCTATTCCACTACATACACATTTTTTTTTTTAGGGTCAGTGCTGGGGCCTTTCTTATTTGTCTTTGTATTTCTCGATGACCAGTGTTTAGCATGGGGCCTGTGTGTCCCATGACCGAGTATTTTATTGAATTGAGGGGAGCATCAGAATATACCTGGGGAGAACTTCATACCATCCCTAGGAAATAGAAGAATACTTCAGTCAAACAGCTTTGCTTCGTTGATTAACAAATAATTGAATACATATTATGTATTAAGCTTTGTGTCAGATGCTTTGGGCCAATAAACAAGAAAGGCATTGCTTCTCTCTTTAAGTCATGCGCAGCCTCCTGGAGGAAACATATATATAATTTAAAAAAATGCAATGTAGCATGACCATTGTACAAAATCACACAGCTTGTGAGTGGTGGATCTGTGATTAAAATCCATGTCTGTTCAACTACAAAGTCACCAAGCCAAATGCTTTCAGAACAGGAAAACTAACAGTGCTGAGGGAGGATTCTCCTCAGACTCCTTACAGCAAGGCAGCAGCTTTGTTCAGCCTGTTCACTGAAAACACAGCTTCCTCTGAAAATATCACTGTACCAAAACATTTTGCTTTATTCACAATAGGTCCTCCAGAAGCTGGGGAAAGCTGATGAGACAAAAGACGAACAGTTTGAAGAGTATGTCCAGAACTTCAAACGGCAAGAGGTGAGTCCGTTAATCTCATTTCTGGAGTGGGAGATGGTTTTAACAGTGTATGTATATTAGCACATGCTATGGTTTGGATAGGACTTAGGGCCCACCAAGGTTCATGTGTTGAGATTTAATTTCCATAGTGAGGTGTTTAGGGGGTGGAAACAGCCCTACTATAGTGTTAGGGGGGGAATCTCTGGGAGGTGATTAGGATTAGATAAGGTCATCAGGGTGGAGTCCCAAGTCTTCATCATAGGGCCTTTATAAAAAGAAGAGACAGAGACCAGAAGACAGACAGACAGACAGACAGACACACACACACACACACACACACACACACACACACGTTCCCTGTCTCTTGCCATGTGAAGCTTTGCTCTGCCTCAGGACTGTCAGCAAAGAGGCCATCTCCAGATGTTGACCCTCAACCATGTGCCTTCAGAACCATGAGCCAAAATAAACTTCTTTATAACTCATCAAGTCTGTTGTCTTGTTTTATTGATAGTGGAAGATGGACTAATACAATTTAAAATTTTTTAAAAAAATTGAAATAGAGAAAGAACAATGGGATTGGAATTAACTTGTTCATTGTGGAGACTCTTTTGTAGAAGACAAGGGAGCAAGCACTGCAGAAAGGGAGTTTTGGGACTTGGAACACCAGGAGACAAAGATTTTGATATCCTGGACCTCTTCCGTCCCAAGTGACTGATCTAAAGGAAAGATGTTGTTTTGATCATTTCTATTCCACCCAATATTAGAGAGGCAGTAAATATTTCTGGCAAAATGATTTCAATTGTTGCATGCTTCAACATCATGCATTATTGTGAGGGACTACACTTCTCACAATGGATGGAACTTGGTTCTTGGTGGGTCCAACAAAGGTCTCACTCTTTTAATGCTTAAAATAGATAAGCATACATTAGATACATAAATACATAGTACATCTATGTTATTAAAATTTCATGGGGTGTACAACTAAGAAAAATGTCTAAGAAGATTCCTTAGATGAGGTGATAATGAAAAACAAAGGTTCAGACTGTGTGTGTGTGTGTGTTTTTTGTGTGTGTGTGTTTGTGTGTGTGTGTGTGTGTGTGTGATGTTTGCTCCTTTTATGGACAGGTGTGTGTTTAACAAATATGGAAAACTACAAACTACTTTTCAAATGACCTGTTTTGATTGATAATACTTGGTCAATTGAGAATTGGCTAATATATCACTTTTTAGAGGGATGTTTGATCTGGATTGATGTTTGAAACTTTCTGGGGTTTAGGTTTCATACTAGAAGCAGGGTAGGAAGAAGGCAGGGCCCATAGATTCTGGAAAATGGGGACAGAGGGCCAATGTAAGAACATGGACTAATTTCCTGCTATTATTGGAGTTACCAGTGTTCACAAAGAAAATTATGGCCATTGGATGACAACAGTAATGGAAAAATCATCAATTTTTATTTTGCCTCCTTTGTTCCTGCATAAAAATCCCTGATCTTGGAGGTTCCTTTCTTCCCTATATATATCAGTGTTTCTGTTGTTTTTCTCACTGGACTCATGCTATTTCTTTTCCTCACTGAGAGGTGTTATAAAATCCAGCAGGTGTAGGACCATGTAGATCAGTAGGACCATGTAGACCATGTAGATCTGCTAGAACACATTTCTGAATGTCTCAGCAGGTAAGTACTCAACAGAGTAGGGATATTATTCTATCTAAAAATTAGAAAAGAAAGGGGGAAAGTTGTGAAAAAAGAGGATCAGGAACAATTGATCACATCCAAATTACTGAATATTATAGACACCTATGGACTGATGGAGGTGGAAAAGAGAATTCTTAGAGGTATGTTAGATGTAGGCCCATAGAATTAGTTGTCTCCTAGTCTTCCCATAGAGAACCATCTGTGCATCAATTTCTGCCCTCTTCTGGTGAACTCTCACCCCGTATCACTCATACAGATCTTTGTCTTGGACTGCAGGAAAACCTGTCAATTAATACCCCATTGCTTTGCAGGGCAATCCCAAATGTCTGCTTTAAAAGATTGGGTTTATATTGAAGAAGTGACTCTGTTTATAGTTTTCCCTGCTTAATTATTGATAATCTACTGTTTGAAACCTAGACTTCAGGTCTGATGTATCCCTATGGAGTTAATTAGTTCTTTGCCCTAGCATTTTTTTCTTTGTCATTTTAATGACATTTTGAGGCAGTTGACATCCCAGAAGGCTAACTTGGGAAATATCAGTTCAGTAATACATTCATGTCTAGGAAGCAGTTTGAATTTTCTGATTTTAATGGATTTTTATTGCTATTTTTGACTTTCCTGACTGAACCAGATAAGGATTGTTTTTGTCTAAAGTACTAGAGAAAAGTTAGATTGATTAAACCATCAGTTATATTGGTTAAATGATCTGTGCCACCAGGAGAGCAGCATGGGTGGCTTTATAGGGCCATTCTACCATCTATTCCTATCACTATATACATTTTTCAAATGTTATGGGGCAAATTGCATAAAATCACTCTTGGAAGCTATACCTTAGTTCTCTCAAGAATTTTAGCAGATTTTAAATCCTGGGTAAAAATTAAAAATTTGGGGAAATTTAAACAAGCAATTCTATTTTATAAGAGTGAAGGAAATAAACTGGAAACGTGAAAAGTGTTATTTCTCAAGAAGACTCATGGCCCCCTTTGGTTCACTTGGAAGATATTTTTGCATGAAAAATATCTTACATTTCTACATCCTGATTTTGGTGGTTTTTAATTGTTGTTGTTGTTGTTGTTGTTAATCAGAGGGTAAGTTTATAGTCATTGTAGAGGAGTGAAGAGAGAGCGTGTGTTACATTTATATGTTAGAAGAAGAGAAGGAGAAAGGAAAGGAAGAAGGTGGAAGGAGAGGAGAGGGATTTATTAATTTTCAGTGGAAACAAACGTTGAGAAATATAGCTGAAGCCTGAAATTTTTATTTTTTATGAAGAGAAAAAAAATTTTACCTGCAATATGTTTTCGTGACCAATTTACATCTGTTGCCTATGCTGAAAAAGTGTGGTGCTTATGTACAACATGAACTTAGGAAGAAAGATCTTTCAAGATTGTAATTACCTCTACAACATCTATTATTCTTAGTGTTAATGCCATTCATAAATGTTAATATGGTGACTCGTTATCCAAAGTACCAATGGCATTATCTCAAGGATCTATACTTTAAAGGTATTAGCTAATGCAGGAAATTTAGATTCCACATTTGATGAATATTTATTTTTTCTAAATCTCAAAAGATACTATTACCAGTATGAATTGAAGCATATTTGAGTTTGTGCATTATATTATAGTCATCTGACCACAGTCCACTAGTGTTTAATTAAAAGTAAACCATTCCAGAATGTTTTAGAAAGTATTCAAACATTTTGGGACTTGGTGATCTTGCTTTTAAATTCCCTTTTATAAAATCATAAGGGACCTTGCAATTTCTGGTATATTGCTTGCATGCTTATGTTGGTAATGAAGGTGGCAGAAAGGCCTATATTTCAACTCTGATGAGGAGCTTGCCTTTTTTTTTAAAATTCTAACCTTAAACTTTCTTTCTGATCCCAGACCTGTTTTTCTAAAAGATGGCTTGTGTGAGAGTGAGAGGGTGGGTGAAGAGTCTGCACAGACCACCCTGGTGGTCCATTGGACTTGCATTGTCATAGATTTTGTGGCCCAGATATTGTAAACAATTAATTAGGAGAGTGAGGCAGGGGGAAAGGGAGGGTTTAACAAAGGAAAGCAGAGTGAACTCCTCTATAAAGAATTCAAAATTTTCCATGATGAGAGCTATGGAAAGCATGGATTATAAAAATCCACAAGGAAGAAAACAAATCTGATTTTAGTGCTTCCTCCCCAGAGGCATTTTTATTCCATTTTACCTCTTATCAGAGCTGCTGATAAGTAGCAAATTTGATTTGTGTGAACACCAGCTACTGTCAGTGCATCTTGCTGCCTGCCAATGATTTGTTAGTGAACAGGGAAAAGGTTTTACAAGGGAAGGAAGGCTGTTGGCTTCTCTTTCCTTCCTGTCAATGAACTTGCCCAGGAAGATGCCACGGTTTTGGCAGGTGTGCTAATTACAATAACAAAATACATCATGGACTGCCTGGGCTCAGATAACCAAATATTGGATCGCATCATAGTCGGTGTGGATGTGAGCACCCTAATTCAGACTGGGCCTAAGATCAGGACTTGATTCTCCTTTTCCTGTATCAGTAGCTTTCCATTTCATTTTTGAAACAGTAGATTAGTATTGTCCTACTGTTTCTCTCTGTGCCCCCTCCTAAGCAATGGCCTGACTTTGGTTTCTTGCAAGTTGAGTGTTCCTTATCCAAAATGTTTGGGACCATCTTTCAGAGATTTTTGGATTTTGTGGTATTAATTATACATTACCATTTGAGCATCATTAATCTGAAAATTTAATCCAAAATCCAAAATGCACCTAAATTTAAAAAATTTTTGAGTATTACATCATTACTCAAAAAGTTTCAGATTTCAGAGCATTGCAGATTTTGGATGTTTGGAATAGGAATGCTCAACCTATACAAACTAGGAAATGTTGTGACCTTGGCATCCTCTCAACCTGTGAGAATTCAGAACCAGTGACTAAAGTTATTAGGCTGCTACAGTGATTGAAGGCTGGGTCAGATCTTCTCCTTACTCTGAGTTGATCCTCCTGGGACAGGCAGCTTGTCTTGTTGTTTTCATTTTCTTATCTTCATAGGACCCAGTGCTTTTCATGGAAGTTTAACAAATCGTTTCTAAAATTGACTAACAGCAATAATTATAATTTTGAGTGCGTTCCTAGAGTATATTTTTATATCGGGGATCAAAGAGATGCATACTGTGTTATTTTTGGAGAGAGTTTTATGAGAGTTATTTAGAACCATATATTTATGATTAAAATTTTTAAAACCTTCAGAATAAAAGATTTTTAAGAGCATGTAAATAAATAGTATACTACCATAGTACATTAACTTATGATAGTTTTTTTAATTTATGGTAAA